CTCTAGTTCAGTGGAGTCGGACTTTTGCATGGGGCTCTGCAAATCACATGGTGTGGCTCCGGGCAGGGCAGCAAACTGTAACCTGTGGACCAACTCTGGTCACACTTCTGTGTTTCCGTATTGTTTATTCTTTCACACTACAACAGCAGAGCTGTGTGCAACAGAAACTGTATGGCTCACAAAACCCTTTCAGTTTGCTGACCCCTGGGTATACAGCACTGTCCACTTGGCCTGGAAGTGGTGGCCATCTGGGCAAATCCACAATGTAGCCGGGCGAGGGCTGTCATACCAGTGACCACGCTTGTGAACGATGATCTGTTATCAGGGTGTTCGGGCGGAATACATCAATCCTGTTGTTCTTCCAATGTAAGTACTGATGTGGTGGGATGACGAGAAATTTCCCTTAGAAACAAATCCTATTTCCACTAATCCCTATTTATAATACTAGGTATGTATTCCTCTAGAAAGCCCCTCCCTGTTAGACTGCACTGGGAATGTCTGAGGAGGTGGTTAAGGTGATGGTCACCCGTAGGTCACCCATAGGTCTCTTCACACGGCTCTGCGTGCAGTTCTAATAGGACATCACCTCTATTATAGGCACTAGGATATAAATGAAAGCTCTCAGAGCCTTTCCCAAGGGCAGGGTTTTCAAAGGGAGGAAGAAGAGAGTGTTTCTGCACCAGGAACCTGTGGAGCAGAGGGAACCTCAGAAAGTGGCAAAAAGGGTGTCCTGGCGACACGCTCTGCGATTGTACCAGTGTGCAGTGGACCGGCCCTAACCACACTTGACCGATTTCCATGAACACCAAATAAGAGGGCTGATGAAGCACTTCATACAGCGACAGTGTTCATATATGAGGCAATAAGCCCGTGCCTCTACTCCCTGCCTGCTCCCCTGGAAGGCGGCAGAGAATTCCTTCTCAAGTTGGCACAACAATGAGAAGAGTGGTGGGGCTGCCTGCCCCTGGGGGGGTGGGGGGGGGTGTGATGCCGCAGCGGTGGGGAGGGGTCTGGTGTTGTCAGCGAAGAGAGAGATAGGCTGTCACGCCCACGCCTTTTCAGGCATTTCTCCCTCCAGCCGCTCTCTACCAACCCCGAGGTTGATTTATCCAAAATGCAAATCTGATCATATTATTCTCCTACTTAAAATCTTGCAATAGTTCCGTGGATAAAATCTCAACTCCTGTGCTCGGGCTCCTGCCCACTCCTCCAGCCTCATGTCTCCAGCCACCCTGAGCCGACTGGGCCACATGTCCTGCTGCCACGCTTTGTCCGCATTGCTCCCGCCCCAGTCCTTGACCTGGCTAATCATCCTTCCCCGCCACAATTCAGGTCAAAGGCTACCTCGTCTGGACCCCTTCCTTGCCATTCAGCCCCCTACCCACCTCCCCCGCCTGCCACCCCCATTTGGGTTAGAGGCTTACTTGCCCTGCTAGAGGGTACTGTCTGTCTTCTTCACTGCCACCTAAATTCCTTTAAAGGGCACTGACTAGGACTTACAGATTCTCATTTCCCTGGCATGTCGCGTAATATCTACCACATAGTAGACACTCCCACCACAGGCACTGAAAGCCTGGCCTTTGAGAACCTAGGACAGAGGCTAAGTGACACATCCTTGGCTGTGACCATGGTGTTAGGACCGGGAATCTCCTCTGGTGTTTTAGAAATGGATGATCATAGTGGGACACACATCCCTTTTCTCTTTTCAGGTACCCAGGGAACATTAAACTTTTCTAAGCAGCTGTGTTCCCAGGGCATTCTTTTGAAGTTTTGGCATTACACAGACCCCCAACAAAATGTGTCGAGGAGCCTGCACTAGACTGGAAATGAAAAACATTCTCTCAGCTGAATTTTTCAGAGCTCCTCCTCGAAGGGCAGAACCTGATCCCAGGGTTTCTACCCCAGGACTTGGCCTTGAGGGTGAGTAAAGAAGATACCATGTCATCTAAATGTGTCCTGAGTGACCTCATTATAAAGAGTGTAGCTGTTTCTGGCTCCCTGTGGGAGTGTGACATCCCCAAGGGGGAAATGAGCCTTTTCTGCTCTTCGATGCAGTAGCTATTGTGTATTAATACCAAGAAGCCTGTCTCTGCCTCTGGAAACAGACTGGACCCATCAGGGCAGATACAGCAGAGGAATCCCCACGGGGTGGTGCTAGGACAAAAGGAAGTTGTCTCTCAGGTTGGAGATGCGAACATAACATAACATAATGTGACTTCATAGCCTTGTCCAGGATTATTTAATAAGTTATTCTGAACACACCCCATACATTATAAGGGAACTGAACACGGGGTTTAAATTCTAGTGCTATTCTATGATGATAACTTATTAAAAACCAGTAGGCTCCAGTGTCTGCAGCTGACTGAGCAGGGGCGAGCCCCCGCTCTCTAGATTCTGAGATTATCACTGGGCATTTCTGCTCAGTGGCTGCAAGACGCCCTCAGCACAGACAAAGTATCCCCAAACCGGGAACCAGCCTCTGGGGGCCTGCCTTGTTAACACAAATATAAAGAGGCATAAGAACAGCATGTACTTATCACAAACTCCATGAACACATGGGTGGAATGTCACTTACATAACCTGGCAGGTTGCAGTTATGCCGTAATGTTACACACCCCGGCTTTCTTAAACCAGCAGAAATCTCTAAGGTCTTCTTTAAAAAAAGGAGTCTTTCCGTTTTCTCCTGGAGACAATGCTCACAGCATGAGAAGTGCCCATCAGTTATCAGTAGTTCAGCAGATTGTGCCAGGGTTGACATTTGTTCTTGGCTTAATTGTGCGTGCGTGTGTGTTTCAGACAATGATGCAGCTGTCCCCACTGCTGGCAATTAGGATATAAAAATGGTGTTCACTGAATCTGGCATAGTGATCAGCTATCCATGTGTTTACTCTTTTGTTTGCAAGGCCTTCCGAGTGTTTGCTGCAATTCCACAATCAGAATATAGATTTGGCTTAAAATGGAACCTAGATCCGTATATTAATAGCAACAACAGGGACCGCAGACCTCCTTGTTTCAAGATCTTTGGTCTCTGACTCCACTGCTGATGCTTGTATCGGGGTGTATGTTAAAGGTACCTCCCAACTTGATACGAAGATGGTCGGATTTAAGACACTGGTAGGATTAGGAGAGCCCTGTCAGCAGAGGTGCACTGGACTGTTGCTGATCATTTGCACGGTATCCAGTGATCCAAACACATCGCACATAGAAGACTACCCCAGAGTTCCAGCTGCGGCCAAAGTCAGCATCGGCCCTCACTGCAGATTCCTGCAGGCCACCTGGCCATCAAGGAGAGTCCGCACCCAGCGTTAAGTAATTCCTTTCTCTGGACTCTTTTGGCTCTTGGCTTGGTGGGCTTTTCGCTATTAGATTAGCTGGTTAATGTTAGCATCAGCTAGGGTGGGGACCAATTCCCATTAGGTCATGGCAGGTTCGAATCAAATACCTATGAAAAGAATAACCTGGCCCTTTGGAAAACTGTTTGGCAGGAGTCACTAAAGCTGAGCCTTCTGTGACCCAGCAATTTCACTTCTAAATACCACTACCCACAGACAAGCATGCATATATTCACCAAAAGCCGCACACGGGAAGGCTCGTGGGGGCAGCTCTCCGGGGGTCCGTCAACAGTACAGTGGATAAGTAGGTTGTGCTACAGTCCAGCCATGACATACTATACAGAAATAAGATCGAACGAACTAGAACTGTATCTGTAAACCCTCTAAACCATAGCATGCGAAGTATTCGTTTTTTGGCACTGGGAAACAAATGACGACCAATTCAGTGGCTGAAAACAACATAGGCTTTTACCAGCTCACAGTGGTGTAGGTCTTAAATCTTGCTTCTCCTCAGAGGGCCTCACAGGCCAGAAGCTCAGGACCCTCTTCCCAGTTCATTCAGGTTGTGGCAGGATTCAGGGTCTTTCTTGTGATTGGAGGACTGAGGTCCCCCATTTCCTTGTGGCCTGCGAGCCAGGAGCCAGTCTCGGCTCTCAGAGGCCGTCAAGAGCTCTTGCCATGTGGACCCTTCTGTCGCCAAAGCCAACAGTGAAGAGCTTCCCTCGAGTGCATCTGTCTCATGCTTCAAAATCTCTGTCACCAGGAAGAGCTTAGTCCCTTGTAAGGGCTCATGTGATCAGGCCCACTGAGAATAGTCTCCCTTAAAGCCAACTGATTTGGGCCTTAATTACATCACACAATCCCTTTACAGCAGCACCTAGATTGATGGTCGATTGAATAACTGGGAGAAAGTGCGAGTACCAGAGAGGATGAGGAATCTCAGGGGCCATCTTAATTCTTCCTACCATACACAACGACATGGAGGAATCTTCCAGCTGATGGTGAGCGAAAGAAATCAGACATGAAAGAATATATAAGGTATGACTCTGTATAAAATGCAAGAACGGGAAGCACTGATCTTTGGGGTTAAAAGTCAGAATAATGGTTACTCTTGAGTACATAGTAACTGGAAAGGATCAGGGGAGGGGTCTTGGGTGAGGGGACTGATAATGTTTTTGTTCCTTGATCTGTGTGCTGGTTACATGAGTGTGTTCAGCTTGTGGAAACTCAGCAAGCTGTACATTTTTAGAATAATTTAGATTTCTTATTTTAAAATAGATTCGTTTTGTTTTTCCAAGGCACTATGCGTTCAAAGACAGCTATCAGAGAGGGTACTTGATGGGGGTGGGGAATCAGCAGGAAAAGAAAGGAAATGAGAGTGCTTCACCAGCAGTGATGGGGATGGTACCTCATGACCTCTGCAGGGGAGGGCCAGCGAAGTGAAAAATTAGACTCTAGCAGCTTGGACTGCTGTGCAGCACCCGCCACATAATAATGTGTGTGTCCAGTGCAAAGCAAAATGCAGGGCCTCCTAGTTCAAAAATTACTATAATTTTTTAAAAGATTTTATTTTATTTATTTATTTGACACAGAGAGAGAGAAGGAGAGAGCAAGCCCAAGCAGGGGGAGGGGCAGGCAGGGGAGAAGCAGGCTCCCTGCTGAGCAAGGAGCCCGATGCGGGGCTTGATCCCATGACGTTGGGATCATGACCTGAGCCGAAGGCAGCCGCTTTACCGACTGAGCCACCCGGGCACCCCTAGTTCAAAAATTATTAAGAAGTTAAAGACAGCAAGAGTGGAACATTAAGCCAAGGGTGGGGGCGCGGGCAGGGCACTGGTCCCCGACCCATGAAGCCAGCCCTGCCTCTCTGGGGGAAAATGCCACATCTCCCATTCCAAACACTTCTTGCTAGGTGAGTTACTTTGGGCAACTAGAGCTTTGGTCCTTTTGATTGTAAAGTGGGTTAGCTAGAGGCTAGCAGGCGCTAATTCAATTAATATATGCAAGAGCAAGCACTTTTTGATGTGTAAGACACCAAATAAATACAGGGATTATTATAAGAATGGGTCATCTAAATGTTTATGTGTTCTTTCTTTAATTGACCTCATAGATATTTTGGTACATAAACTCTTTACAGATAGCACAGGGTCCACTGCCACCTTGTGCATTAACACGAATTCCAAGCTTATTGGTGAATCCCTAATCATGAGATTTGCCTCCCTGTTCCTTGGTCTTCCCAGCTCGCAGAGCGAACTACTAAAGGGTAAGTCCAGAGCATTGGAGTCTGGACGCTTCCTCATCAAAGTCACTTTTTCTTGCTGCGATTAGAGTTTCAGTCTAGTTGGGAGCCGAATCCTTGCCGGGACTCCAGAACCTTCCCAGTGGTTGTGGGGCCCTGGGAAGGGGCGCCCTGAAATCATCCAGCGAGGGCTCGATGGTGAACGCCGCGGGCACATGACTCTCCAGGCCTCGGGAGACTGCGGTGTCAGGTTGAAAGTCAGGGCTGGCACCTGGCTTTCAGAGCAGGGGATTAGGAAAAGGGGAGCGCATTTAGGGACTTGGATTTCTGAAGAGGCGCGACTTCTGTGTTTATTTTCCCCGGCGTGCCCTCTGAAGCACAAACCTTTCCAGACTTGCTGACTTACTACAGCTTTTGGGGACCGTGGTACCGTAAGGCGGCCGGCTGCCTGACCTAAGATTTATGACCGGCTCCAAGGATGAGACAAGGTCCCAGTGTCTCGGTGACAACAAGGTCTTTGACGAACAGCCGCGGGCTGCAGCTGGGGAGAGGGAGGAGGCCTGTGGTCGGGGTGTAGAGCCTCTGGCTTTTCTCCCTGCAGGAGTTGGGTGCCCGGGGCGCAGGCGGGCAGCCCCGCAGGCCATCAGCATGCAGGAGCCGCGCGCGCCGTCCTTGAAGGGTTGCCCGCTGACCTTGCTCCGCTTTCTCCGGAGAAATCTCCCGAGCGCGACGACGCGGTCACCGCGGTGACTCAGTGCCCTGCGCGCCGCAAGCAAACGCTCCCCTCCAGCATGCCCAGCTCCGCAGCCGCGGCTTCCCCTTCCTGCCCCCTTTTTTAATTCCACGATTCAAACCCGGCGTTTTCCGCTCCCCCCTTCCCCCCCTCCACCGCCCGCCAGTCATTCGCCAGCCTGTCCGGGTGTTTGGTCCCCCCCCACCTCCCATCTGCAGAACTGAAGGCCAATCTTCGCGCTGCCTCGCTGCGGGCCCGGGGATCGGACGTGGCCCGCCCGGGGCCGGGCACCGCGCTGGGCGACCGCGATCCGGAGCCCGACCGGAGGGGGCGGTGCGCCGCGCTTTCGGCTGCTCGGGCGGACGGCGCCCGGGCCCGGCTCCCCATTGGTCGTCACCTCGGCGGGGAGGGGCCGCCCCGGCCCCGGGGCACCTGGAGTCGCCTCTCCGCAGGGAAATCGGCGGCTGCCGGGCACGGGCGCCCAGAGGTAAAGGCGTCCGGAGGGAAGGCCCGGGGCCGCGGCCGAGCTCTCGGCCACCGGCTCTGCCCTGCCCTCCGCCCCGGCGCCGGCCACGCTCGGATGCCCCCTGCGCCCGCCCCGCCAGGCGGAAACTTTGCCCCGCCAAGTCCCCCGCCCGCCTAACAGCGCCGAGAGGCGCCCGGTCGACCGCGCGCCCCGCCGGGGCCCCTAAACCCCGCGCGTGATTGCGGGGCCCCCCGGCTCCCCGCGCCCGCCGCACCCCGGCGTGCGCGAGCGGCCGCCAGGATGCGCTACGCGGATCCCTCGGCGAACCGGGATTTGTTGGGGAACCGAACTTTACTCTTCATTTTCATCTGCGCCTTCGCCTTGGTGACCTTGCTGCAACAGATCTTGTACGGCAGAAACTACATCAAGAGGTAAGAAAGTCCGAGCGCGGGTGGGGGTGCACGGAGCTCGCGGGCGAGCCCCCAGGTGGCGGCCGCAGCGTCGGCCCAGGCGTCCCCGGAGTGAGTGACCCCCGGGTCGGCACTTTGGCCGCGAGCAGCGCCGCGTTAGGTTTGGGTCCTGGCGCTCCGAAGCGCATCTCTCCTCCCAGCGGCAGCAGAGAGCCTGCCCTGCGTGGGCCGGAGGGGCCCGACAACTTTGTTCTCTTGTGAAAATGGGGGACGGCTTGGAATTCCGAGCGGCCACGCTGATGACAAATCCATCTGAACGCCCCGAGGGGCCACAGGGGTCAGATCGGTGTCCCCCAAATCTACAGTGCCATGGCCGTTTGGTTGGAGGGGAGGCTCCCGGGAGTGGAGGGCTCAAAACCGGATAGGATTACCCTGTGAGTCCTGAACTCCTGTGGGGGCTCTCGGGGGAAAAGCATCCCCCCCACCCCGGAGCGCCCGGTTAGGTGGGGAGTGATAGTGGGCTGGGACTGCGACAGGGATCGTCAGTTTTCATAAACCAGTAACCACTGGGTGTGTGAAACTCACAACCTGATCAGTCCTGAAACAGATGGTTCTTTCTCAGGCTTACCCAGAAGGTCAGAGCTGCAGCGGGAGTTAACTCTCCCCTCGTTGGACTCTTTTCCTACCCCTTGCTCCCCCAATCCACCGCCAACTCTGTTGGGAGAAGGAGCCGTAGGAGGTGTCACAGCCCGGGTCCCTGTGTGTGCGGAAAATGCCAGCCGTTTTTGTTCTGCTGGCGAGGAGAGACGCTTCGGGGTACTCTGCCCCCTTTCAGAGCTTGGGGATAGCGCTGACCCCAGGATACTCCCAAGTCAGAGCCCCTTTTAGAAATAGCCTATCTCTCCTTTTGCCTGGAGGTTTGTTCTTTGCTGCAGTTAGGCTACTTCCCTCCCCGCCTGCACCGCAACCCCCCTACCACCCGGTCCCAGAGCTGGGGAGTATGGGGCCTCTTGCCTGGGACATTTGTTTTTTAGCCAGCCACGGCCCCTGACCTCCCCAGACAGCATTCTTCCCTGGGGGAGGGCAGCTGGTGAGCTTTGCATGGTGCTGGTGGCTTTAAAGGACATTTTCAGTCTCCTGGCTGGCTTGGGTCTGCCTCCCCTTCTGGCTACTGCCGTCCCTCCAAGATAACCCCATGCAAGGACTGCCGGGCCCCTGCTGGCCTCCACCTGCTGCACTTGTTACCTCCTCAGCAGGTGACTCTGGGTTCCTGCACCCTGTTGGCACCTGCTCAGCACTGCTGGGGCTGCTGGGGTCTCTGCTGCCTTGTCAACAGTGGGAAAACATCAGTACCCGTGCTCAGCGCCAGCTCGTCTACTAACTGCTTGCTCTGGCAAGCCCTCCCTGGTCTTGCGTGGATGTGCGAGCTGCCCAGAATTCAGCGGGCATGCCAGTTGCCTCCCATCCTCCCTCACACATAGATCCTGACTCCCTGAATCTCAGATGCCACCTCTCAGGCCTCACTCCAGGAACGTGGGGTAATCCAGTCAAGCAAGCAGAACTGGCCTATGCTTGATCCTGGAAGGATGCTGTGGGGGTCTGTGAAGAGGCAGATGGTGTGGTCCTGGTGTTCAGGAGGCTTGAGATCTCTTTGGGGAAATAGAATAACCGCAGAGGAAATAGTTAAGTAATAAGTGTTAACTTGTCTGAGGAAGGAGGTACCAATGGGCTGGAGTAGTTAGGGAAGACTGCCTGGAGGAGGTAGAACCTGAGTGGGCCCTCGAAGGAAGGGTGAGATTTAGATGCATGTGTGTGCGGGGAACGTGCACATCCAGAACTGAAGAGCGTGTGAGCAAAGGTGCAGAGATGGGACACCACCTCCTTTCCCCTCTCCCATGCCCGGACTACCCACGCATGCGTTCACCTGTCTTGTTTCGTATACATACAATCATAATGAACTGACTTGATATGATTATTGGTCTGTGTCCTATCTAGAAACACCTCACACTTGAGTGTTCCCCAAGCAGAGATCTTGGGACAGCCTCATGAGAATCGCTGATATGCAGATGCTTGGGCTCAGAATTGGACCCTCTGGGGATAGATCCAGTACGTGCTTGTTACCAGGTCCCCACATGGTTCCTTACAAGCTCCCTCTGCTGCTCTAGACCCACAGTTCTTAAGGGAGAACAATGTTACCCCCAGGCGATATCTGGAAACATTTTTGGTTGTCACACTGGGAGAGGAGAGTGCTACTGGTGTCTTATGGATAGAGGCCAGGGATGCTGCTGAAGCTCCCACAGTGCATCATCTGCTTCCCACAGGAAAGCGTTATCCAGCCCTAAATATCAATAGGGCTGAAGTGGAGAAACCCTGCTCTGGACCGAAAGCTCCACGAGGCAGGGTTTCACTCTGTTTTGGTGCCACCTGCACCCTGAGCACCAAATATGATGCCTGGCACGTTGTAAGCTCTCAATAAATATTGGATAATGAAGAAATGATTAAGAGTGGTATGTGTGTATGTGTATATGTCTGCGTGTGCCCACGTGCGCCCAGGGTAACTGGAAGACACAGTGAAGAAATGGATCCAGCTGGTGTAAGGGAGAAAGTGGAGAATGGGGACAGATGTAATGTTGGGTGAGTAGCTTCAGTGAGGTGCTTTGTGGATGGGGAAGGACAGGTAGAACTGGGTTCATTCAGTCATAGGGAGCCGCATGTGGTCTTTGAGCAGGGTAATGATATGATAAAAGCCACCAGGAAGGAAGGTTATTTGGGCTTTGTAAGGAGAGGTTAGCGATGGGGAGAGGCTGGGAGGCTCTTGTTACAGCCTGGTACAAAGTGAGGAGAATCTGGTGCGGAGGGCAGATCCACTTTGGACCTTGGGGGTTCCTGAAGCCTGTCATTCTTCGTTTCCATGCTGAGCTGGTCTGATGATGTATTCAGCAAAGCCTCCATTGTTTGCCACCTTACAAAGAGCTCAGAGGCACAAAGGTGACAAGCTGTTTCAGTGAGAATTCGGGACAGACTTCACCAGAAGGGAGTGGAAGATGTGAGTTGGTATGTGTTCTTTCCTTGGACCCCTGGTCTCTGCCTGTGCTGTGCTGTGGCCACTTCTGGGGGGTGTCTGTTGGAGTGATCGGGACTCTGGGGGCCCATCTTGCAAACACTTCCGGTGCTCAGGAGGGGAGAAGGTGGGCAGTGCAGATGGCTCAGGGGGCATGGTGTCTCCGTGGAGAAAGTGCACACTCTGTGGACTGGGAAGAGAGAGCATGAGACAACGCTGTGAAGTTTGCCGTTGATGTTCTTGGCTTCCTCCTATCTCTGCTTTGTTGAACGCATACTTGATGAAGATTTGCTATATGCTGAACACCACGCTAAGTGCTGAGGACAGTGGTGTGGCAGGCGGACACCGTCCAGGGTCTCCGGGGAGCTTGCAGTCTGTTAGGAAGACAGAAAGGCACGTAATACGTACATAAGCCAAACTGGAGGTGTGAGCAAGAGCTTCCAGAAGTGAGGAGGGAGCCGTAGTGGATTAGGATGGCTTCAGGGTGCATGGAGGCATTTGAAGGGGGTCTTGAAGAAAGGAAAATGATCCGTAGGCATGGGGGAGGAGGAAGGAAGGGGGATGACAGCCAGCTTGAATAAGGATAGCAAAGTGCAGGGGAGAGCTGAGTAGTTCTGCATGACTCAGATATCACAGCTGTGTAGCTGGGGGCAAGGTGAGGCAGGCAGGGCCTGGTTATGGAGATTTGAGTAGGAAATGTGTGAGAAGAAGCATGTCTGGAGGGAAGAGGGTAACAAATTTGAGTCTGGATCTGTTAGGACACTCACTGCAAGGAGATCCACATGGAGCTATCCAGCAGCTCCTTGGAAATGAGCTCCAGAACTGTGGGTGGAGAAGAGCCAGGCTAGCAATGCAGATTATTTAGTCACCATCAAAATCAGTGTTTTCCCAACTTTTATAATTGTTAGCCACAGTAAGAACTGTGTTATACCCAGGGATCTAGAACACACTCACATACACATCTGAAACAGCCATTTTGTGAAACTATGTTTGGCCTTATTATAAGAAATGTGCTTTAATATTTTCTATTCCACTTCATTTACAAAATAAATTCGGCCTTAAAAAGGAAGGGAAATCTGATATATAACATGGATGAATCTTTTTTTTTTTCTCAACATGGATGAATCTTGAAGATATTATGCTAAAATAAACCAGACACAAAATGACAGATATTCTATGGTTCTACTTATATGAGGCACCTGGATTAGTCAATTCATAGGGACAGAAAGTAAAATGGTGGTTGCCAGGGGCTGGAGGTGGGGTGGGAGGTTAGTGTTTAATGGGGACAGAGATTCAGTTCGGGAAGATGGAAAGGTCTTGGAGACGGATGGTGGTGATGGCTGCATAATGGATTGACTACACTTAATGCCACTGAACTGTAGACTTAAAAATAGTTAAAATGGTAAATTTCTGTTATGTATATTTTACCACAATACAAGAGTTGAAAAAATTCTTGGGGTAAACCACCAAGTTGATTTTATAACTTGTTGGTTTGAAACCCTTAGTTAGAAAAACACTGGTCCCCGTGATGAGGTTGGATGAGATCACCCAGGAGAGAGCAGAGTGAGGATGATGAAGGCCAGGGCACAAAGGAGAGCCTTAAGGACTGCCTGCATCTAAGGGTCCAGAGAGGAGAGCTAGCTCTGGAAACTGAGGCTGCAGAGAGGTAGAGGGGAATGGGTGTTAAGGAGACCAAGGCATAATGGTGCCAAGCAGAGAGCGGTCACCTGTGACACCCACTGCAGAGGGATCAGGGAGGATAAGGCCTACCTGGATTTGGCTATATGGGCAAGGACAGTTCTGGGGGGCGGGAGGGATGGGCCAAAAGAAGGATTTTCTAGAATCAGGGCATGGAATTTGTACCCTCTTCCTTTAAGACCTCCACTGCCCCCAAGCTCCTTTGTTAGTGCTAAAATCGTCACATGAACTTGCATCCCTAGAGTGCAGAGGACTAAAAGTA